TCACATTATTTACAGCCTCCAAAAACAACTGTTTAACATCACTCATTTTAAAAGAATTATTTTTTCTTGAAACTTCTCCCTTTATATGTGCCCATATCAGTTCAATCGGGTTTACTTCGCAATGAAATGGTGGTGATCTAACCACCGTCATCCCACGATTTTTTGCAATTTCATCAATTTCATATTTTTTGAATTTCTTTTTGTGAAGGCAACACAAATGATACAGTTCTTTTCTCACAGAACCGGGATGGAACTTAATTTTCTTTGAATTTAGCCAATTCTGTAAATCTTTTTTTAACCACTTGGTTGTGGGCATTTTTTCTATAAGTCTCGAGTGATAACTTGCATTATCCATTACTATTATACAGTTCTGAGGAAGAAGATCTATAATTTGTTCTAACCACTCTTTAAAGATATCAGCATTCATGTCCTCATGGTAGTCACCGGTACGAGTAGATTCAAAAGACAATAAACCACCTTTAACAAAACCGTTTGAACTACCGATGTGTACTATTATTAGTCTGCGCCCCTTTCCTGATGGTGGATTTAAACCAGTAGATAAATTATTTAAAAAAGCCTGTCTTCGACTTGTAACAGTTTCATCTTGCCAAAATTTATTTGGTTTTTGTCCCTCGTTGATCCATGTTTCAACTATATAAAATATATTTCTTCTCTGGTTTCTCATTTCTTTTATAGTCCTTAGGTAATTTCTTCTCTATACTACAATATCGCTTCTTTCTATTAAAATTGACTTTCTGGAATGCTTTTTCCATAGAAAACCTATTTCTTTTAAAAGTTTCCATAGTGTGCTTTGACTCATTTCAGGGCAATCCTTATCATCTCGAACCGTGGCAAGAACTTTGTCTACTGTCAGAAATTATTTTCTAAAGAAGAACGCATGCACTTTCCTTCGAAGTCTTTCTTTCAAAAGATTTTCCAATTGAAATTTTGGTTTTCCTGGAGCCTTACGTGCTATTTGAAACTCGCCACATTTCTCTTCTTTAACAACTCTGTAAATCGTAGATTTCCCAACACCAAGCGTAGGTACTACTAACTAATTCCACTGTGTCATCAACACTCTTACATAAATGTTTGTAAATGATTTAAAACAATTAAATATTAATGTTTTTTCATTAACTGTTATAGGACCGATTTTTTGTCGTTTACGCGGCCCTTCCAAATTTTCCATGATCACACTAGAATTCACACTGCACCTTGCAAGTTGCAACTAAACGACATTTAGTAAACTATCAAGAATACATAACTTGGACCTCCTTACTAAATGGAAAACCTATAATCGCATTTTCGGTGAAATTTGTTGTGAAGGTATTTATCTATTAATAATTAGATTACTGTAAGAAATTATTAGAATTAAAATAAAACAAAATTGGCAAATAGGTACTTATTGAAAATAATCTTAAGATACGGCTATGTAATCTTTAATACACAGGGCTTTTGACCTGTTCAAACCTTTTTCTATTGTTCTGTACAGCTTATGTTTATAAAGGACCAATAAAAGACACCCAAAACTTGTAATAGCTCAGGTACATTTATTACAATTTTAGGAAATATTTAGAATATTCTGTAAAAATATTTAAAATGACCGTACTAAGTTTTGCATTAGAAATGCTGTTTTATTACTCTCTCATACATAAAAATAGACTATAGAAATAAGCCACGGTTTGGGTAGGGTAAAATAACAAAGATAATTAGAAAATGTCAAAAACAAAGGTAAAAAATCTACTACAATCTTATATCTGCTTTTGACAAAAATTATATCAAACAATCAAAATGTTCTTTTTTAGATGAAGCCAATATTGACAATACAATAAACGGAGCAGTTATATTTACGTTGCACAGTTTTTAATATAATTCATTTGACAGATTCTGATACGTTGTGCATTCAAAAAAAATGTGATCCAAATTACCTTGACCTCCTCAGTGTTCACAGTTGTCACGAGAAAGATGTTGGGGATAACATGCGTGTCCAAATTTGACTTTAATGATTCTTGTGATGAATTTGCGAAGAATATTAAACTACTTGTGCCAGTATTTTGTAGGTATGGTCGGATGTAACAATGTGTATCTTGTTGGGTTAGTGAAAAAAAATTAACTCCATGAATGCGACTACTGGTTTTGAGAGTAACAAAGTAATCACAAATTTTATTAAATTGGCACGTTTTTAGGTGAATTTATATAATTGTAATAACCCAGTTGGTCCAAAACTACAACAATAAAATGTACAACTTAGGCACTACGAGTAAATTAATTACTCCTGTCTAGTAATAAGATGAATTAAATAATAAAACTGACACCCGCAAGACTTATTTCAGCACTAAATAACGATTTACTTTTTTTCCAAGGTAAGACGAATTTAAACTCTAGTAATTCGAGCTACTAAAAATGCACGTTAAAATACGACCGACAATATCAAATGGATAAGTTCTAGCAGATCTTTAGCACGTCTAACTTTTTATTTTGACAATTTCTGAATGGATCGCTTTCCTTTGATAAACCTATTACAAGGCTCGTAATTACCAGAGGAAAAGTTGAATCCAGTGACCTAAACGCTAATGTCACGGATTGCGATAAATTATATGAAGCATGTACTTGGAGTGTTACGGTTAAAACTTTTCCTTAGAATCCCCGTTGAATCTTAACAAGAGAGACACCTTTAGACCCCGCAAAATTACCACCTAATTCCCCCTTTCAAACCCATTGAAAAGCAATTTTAATTACAAATTTAATTTCAATCTTACGAAAAACTAATTTAATTTCCACAAAAATTTCCAACATCAAAACCGACAAGGGGGCGACTCGGCGGTGGTTTTCCCCCCTTTGAAAAATAACTGATTTCGAAGTTTTTGTTTCAGTCAACCGAAGCGAAAGTTTTTCACGCCCGAAATGAAAATTCGTAATCAAAAGTTTTATTACGACGAATTGAAATGTAAAAAACCGGGGAATATCGTTAATTCGGCGCTAATACATTTTTCAGACCGGAATGAAAGATTTTCCGCCGAAAGGTGGAAAAATTGAAGTCGAGGTTTGGCATAAAAAGACGATCCGAAGCCGAGCGGCGGTTGTAGTGCGGCAGTAATGGGCGGAAAAAGTTATTGGGCCGTTTTGTGTGGAGTAAGACAATTCATAATTGATCGGTAGTTGCATTTTATACGATTTAATCAAGGGATATTTTTAATTTTTATTGGTCGTAGTTTTGTAAAGTATTGTAGACAGAAAATGCCAGAGACGCAACTTATAGTAGTTGCAATAAAGTTTTTTAATGTAGTGAAATATAAAATTAATTATAAGGGTATAGCCAACGATGTTACAACATTTCATGAGTCCTTTATTTTATGTATTTATTGTACAGTTTCCAACAGGGTAATCCTCAATTACAGGATAAGGTGAAAAACTATATAATTATGGGAAATAACAATTGAATATTATAAAACGTATATAGAAATGTCATACAATACATTTAGACATAAATTGAATACATACTAAAAAAAAAACTTAGGACAAGAGAAAAAAGTGTGCACTCAATTAAATCTATTACATTAAACATTAAATATCTGAATAGGTGAGAAACAGACGAACAATTTTTCAAATAGAAATATTACAAAAACAAGAAAAATCAAAATTTCACATTATCGTATTAAGGAAATAAGTAGTTCTTCTAACGGATATACTACATTTAAAAATGTCGATCTGAGATTCAACCTCAGAATAGTTTTGAATCATTAAGTAAAGAGGAGAAGCCTTACATATGTTGGTCCTAGTAGTATTTTGATAGAATATCTGATTAAGACGAGAATTATTTCTTGGAATGCGAAAGTTTAATAGATTAATAATTAAAATGCAGTCTATTTCATTATGTCATATTTCATATTTCATATTTATTTATTGTATCTTTACAAGTTTAAAATTATTATCATTTCTAATAATATTATAAAACTTACAGACTAGTCCCAATAAAAATTATAGTAAAAAAATTAAAATTTAACATCCACACCTCCATGCACACCTAGACACAATCTACCTACTTCCATCCACCTATTTATCCATGTAACATTACAACAGAACATATTTAAAATTTGTTATAAAAATTAAGTAAAGAATTTAATTACAATAAAAATTTACAATAAAATTTTCAAGTTTAAGTTGTATTATTTACTCTTGGTATGGCATCCAAAAATTTTCCAACTGAGTAGAATGCATTCTCGATTAGGTACTTTCTTAATTTATCTTTAAATATATTATATTTGCAGTTACCTATTATCTTGGTTGAGTGATTATAACAAATAATGCCTTGGTAATTCCCCGTGTTCTGTCCAATACCTAATCGCGAATATGGCGTTCGAAATTCATTCGCCCCACGTGTATTATATTGATGTATAATATTACTTCTTACATATTTCGATTCATTTGCTTTTATGTTCAGGGTTATTAAATATATATAGACATGGCAATGTTAGTACTGACAAATATTTAAAGGCATTTTTACAGTGTGCTCCATAGGGCAGACCTGCAATACATCTTACTATCTTCTTTTGCATTATGAAAACTATTCCCATATGAGAGGAGTTACCCCAGAATGACAGACCATATGATAATGTAGATTGTAATAGACCATAATAGGCTAGCCTAAGTATTGGTAAGCTTGCGGTATTATATAATTGCCTGAAGATGAAACACATTGAGCTTAACTTTGATACAATATAGTTAGTGTGAGCCTCCCATGTAAATTTATGATCCACAATTACTCCTAAATATTTAAGCTGGTTCACTTGTTCAATGGATTTGTTGTTAAGTCTTATCAACATGGAGTAATCATGTTTAACATTCTTAGGCAGAAATGTCATGAATAATGTTTTGCCTACATTGACCAAAAGCCCATTTGCTCTGCACCAGTCTGCAAACTCCATTGTTGCCTTGGCTGCGGCTTCTCGTGCCATGTGTATATTTTGTTTTGCCACTATTTCGCTTGTGTCATCTGCATATATAACTGTTGTTTCAGGTGTATTACATGTATGAACTATGTCACTCATAAATATTATAAATAGCAGAGGTGCCAGTGTCGAGCCTTGTGGTACCCCCATCGGTACCCTCACAGGGTGAGACTTTACTGAGTCAATACAAACCACTTGGTATCTGTTTTGTAAATAAGACTCTACCCAATTACCTGATACTCCTCTAACCCCTATTCTGTTCAATTTTTCCACCAATAGCCGATGGTCCACTGTATCGAATGTTCGTGTCAAGTCGAAGAAGATGGCAATCGTGTGCTTCTTGTTATTCAGCTCTTCTATTAGTTTACTACAAAGTTCCTCTATTGCTGTATTTGTAGATTTTTCAGGCCTAAATCCATGTTGGCAGTTTGGTATTAGATTATACTTTTGAATGAAATTTTCGAGTCTAACATAGAAGCTGTAATCAATTGTTTTTGCAATTTGTGACTGAAGACACACGTTTCTGTAATTGCATTCGTTTTGTTTTGATCCTTTATTTTTATATATAGGTACAGACTTTGATACTTTTAGCTGTTCTGGATACAGTCCTGTTGAGAATGATTGGTTAATTAAGAAGGTTAGTGGTTGGGCAATCACATCGCTCACCGTTTTTAGTGCTACACCATTGATCTCGTCAATCCCTGGTGCATGTTTTTTTGTTACCTTATTAATAATATTTTGGGTTTCGCATTGATTTATAGGTTGTAGAAAGAATGTGTGAGGTACAAGAGGTGATAATTTCTGGTCCCCCTTTGTAACTGGTGGTTTACTTATGTTTGTAAAGAATGTATTGAACTGATTTGCTACATCTTTTTTGTCGCTAACAATTGCACCATTTATATTTAATTCTATTGTAGGTTTTGACGTTAACTTTCTATGCTCGTTTATTATTTTCCACGATTCTTTACCTATATCATCTGCATTTAGGAGCCTTTCGTTATTAAATTCCCGTTTTGCTTTATTTACGGATTGATTATATATGTTTTTAAACTGTTTATATCTATTTTTTATTACTTGATTATTTGTTTGTTGTGCTATTTTATGCATTTCACAAACCATTTTGTTCATTTCTTTAATTTTATTATTATACCACGGCTTCTTTCCTTTATTATTATTAACCCGAACCTTCCTTAAAGGGAAACAATTATTGTAATGATATTCTAAGGTTAACATAAATGCATGCATGGAGTCATTAATATTTTCCCCATTATATACTTCTTCCCATTTTCCTTTTATAATTGTATTTCTAAAAGTGTCTAAGTTGTCGTTTGCAAAAGATCTTTTAAATATTACTGACGTATTGTTATTTTTTAAATCATAGTTGAATTTGCATATTTGATACCTATGATCTGATAAATGAGTATCATCTACTAAGCATTGTAGGGCTGGTAGATTTGAGTATACCACATCTATGCCTTTGTTAAGCCTTGTTGGCTTATCTACCTGGTTAATCATATCGAACTCACAAAATATGTTCTTTAGTTTACGTGATTCTATACTATTTGTCATTGTATCAATATTGACGTCCCCACATAATATATAAATGTCATTTTTGTTAAAAATATCATTCATCATATTACTTACCCCATCAAGAAAAACATCTACCTTACTATCAGGTGTTCTGTAGACTGTAATAATATATAGTTTGGTTTTTTTGTCAAAAATGTCGACCTTTATTATGGTAGCCTCAAACAGCTTTTCAATACATTTATTAAACATAATTGGTTTACTTATGATGCCATTTTTTGCTAATATACAGACACCCCCATGTGTAGCGACATCCCTAGAATAGCTATTAATTAGTTCAAAATTATTTATCCTAAAATGCTTTATATCTGTTGAATTAAGCCAATGTTCCGAAATACATAAGAAGTCAGGTGACTGCTCATCTAGTAATATTTCTAGTTGGGGAATTTTTTGTCTGTCATACCCCGAATATTCACGTGCATAATAGCAACCCCTGCTTTCAAATGAAAATATTTAAATTATTTTGGTTTTTACATTCATTTTGTTCTTTTACAATTACATCTTTTACGTAATCACTTTCAACTGGGCAGATTTTCAGCTTCCCGATACTTGAAAATTTCCTATATTGTCTCTACCATCATTGATAACATCTCTGATTTTAAAATCTTCGTAGTATTTTTTAAAATCAAATCTCCTATAGCATACCCCTTTAGGCCAGAAAGAAGGAGTATACATTTTATCCTTATGACTAAAGTCTGTGGCAACTATGAAACTTATTGTATTTGTACTGTTGCACTGAATTTTCTTCACAATAATTTGCTCGTTTTCCATATTATTGTTTTGTATATTTAGTTTGTTTCCTATAAAAGATGTAATGTCCTTTTCATTAACTTCTTTTCCTACTCTGTAGATGTACATATAACACTTTGGATTATTATTTGCAGCACCCCTGAAATTAGTGTCCTCGCTTGATTCGCCCACATTTTTTCTTAAACGCCTCACTCTCCTCTGTTTAATTTCCCATTCATCTTGATTTGGATTTGTGTCTTTATTTAGTTGAATGTATTGGTTCATAACATTTTCTTGTATTTTACTTTGCTCTTGGAGAATATTTGTTTGTTTATTTTCATCGATATTCTTAACCTTGTCAGAATGTCTTTCTTCTTTTTTATTTCTAGAATTACTGTCCGGTCCTTCATTTTTATGTCCTACAGCAACATTGGTACTTTGTTTCTGCGTATATTCACGGCTTTCGGCTGCTGAGCTACTGTCACTTCCACTTGCTCTTGCCGTTTTATTTACCTTTTTTTTATGGTATCTGAATACGTTTTTGTAGCTTTTTCTTCTTTATCCTTCTGAGTTTTTTCATCAATTTTCTGTTCAAGTTCATGTATTCTTTGAGTCAATAAATTGTTATTTATTTTAAGTATTTCATTTTTCTCCTTTAATCCATTTAATAGTTCTTTAATATATTTATTTTCTACCTTGTATGCAATAAACTCCGAATGGGTGTATTTCACTTCTTCTTCGGCGTCAATCGTCTTTTTTGATAAAAAATTTTGTTTTTCACAGCATGTTTCGCGTTGAGAGCAACTTAAATGGAAAACTGCATCACAATTAACACATTTCACACCTTTTGATATTTTTTTATTACAGTAAAGACAATTTTTATCTGGACCGACATCGACCACGTCCAGCCCGTCCGCCATCTTTTATTATGCCTGTCTTCTCAGTAAACAATGAGTATTGAAGCGATTATGAAAATACTGTTGAGAAATGCCTCTCGGTGGTTAGTTACCATCAATAGCTTGACAGACAACTTTGTAACAACGTCTTTGTATGCGTTTGATGGAAGATATCTGAACATTATAAATGGGATTCCAGATAATGTTATCATATTCCAGCTTAGACCGTACAAGTGTAGAATAAAGTAGATTCATTTTAGAAAAATCTTTAAACATTCTCATGTTTCGTATTACAAAACCTAATAAACGATAAGCACTAGCAGTGATTTTGGCAATGTGAGCATTAAAAGTAAGTTTAGGGTCAAAGTAAACCACAAGATCTCGTATAAGCTCTGGACGTAATTTGTAATTATATGTTACTGCTTGATATTTTCTACAAAATGACATATTACACTTACTGGTATTAATAATTCGATGTCTTTCTGAAGTTTAGCGCAATTAACAGTAGTTTTAATCTCATAAATAAATTTCAGCACATAAAATACTTGTAACTTTAATGTTTTTAACTATATTAATAATAAATAGGATGAAAAGAAGTGGTCCTAAAACAGATTCTTGCGGTACCCCAGAAGTTTGGTAAAAATTATGTGATCTATGTCCCAGGCACTGAACATATTGAAAACGTTTCGATAAATAAGATTTTAAAAGTACTAGCAATGATACATTAATTCTTATGCTTCCTTATTTAATAAGCAGTAGTTTATGATCAATTCTGTTGAAAGCTTTGGAGAAATCAGTATAGATTACATCTGTTTTACTTCTCCTATCAAGTGCCTCTGATATTAGTTGTGTCTTGCAGAATAAATTGGTTATAGTGGACCTTCCTGACATGCTGATTTGAAATAATTATTTGCCTGAGTTTAAAAGAGAGGTGATAAGGGATAACTATTTCAAATACCTTTGAGAAATTATTTAAGATTGTTATTGGCCGATAGTTGTATATGTTGTTGTCACTTTTTTTAAATTGGACAAATATAGGAGGTCTTCCAACAATTTGGAAATTTACTTTTTTTTTAAATAAGGCTGAAAATCACAGTTATAGGTTTTGTTAAAATTTGTGCACAATCTCTAATTAGATATGCAGGTATGTTATCGATTCCAGCCGTAATTTTAGGTTTTAACTTTTTTAGTGAATTCAATACCTCTTCCTCGGAAACACAGGTTTTGTTAATTACAATATTATTGTTTGACTCTTATTTTAATATTTGTAGGATTAGGAACATTTGTAGGATTAGGAACGGTGTAATTGGTGCAATTCGTATCCTAGGGGGTGCTAAGCTGTGTGTTATTATAAGTCATATTGGGTATTGAAGATGAACTTTCACTTTTTGTTTTCACTAATGACCAGAACGATTTGCGATCATGTTTTACGTTTTCCTCTGAGGATCTTAAAACAGTTTCGTAGCCCGTTTTGATCTTTTCTTTAATATCAGATCTGCAAAGAGCAAATTTAGCGTAATTATAATCTTTTTTTTTTTGGCTTTATATTGTTTCCATAGCTTATGTTTAATTTTAATTGTTTTGGTAATATCTGCGTTATACCACTGTGGGTAGTGTACTTTGATTGATCTTTTCTTCGGAACATGTTGCTCAAAAATTTTATTTAATTTTTTATATAACAGCTTTACACTGCCATCCACATTGTTACAATTACTTAGAGACGACCAATCAGTTTCAAATATACTTTGATACAGTCGAGGAAAGTTTGTTTTTTTTAAATTTTAACCACAGGAGGATATTGGAGCTAAATATTTGGTATTTTCAAAAGATATTTCTATAGTTAGGGCAGGGTGGTGACTGTTAGTTGGAAGTAGAACGTCGATGGCTTTCTCTACTTTACATGAGCTTACATTTAAAAAAAACTAAATCAAGAAAACGATCATTCTCGTTCAGTACTTTATTATATTGGTTGATATCGTAAAATTTTTAGAAGTTTATCATTAATCTTTCTTGAGGGATTTACTTCTGCTAAATAGTTGTAGGAAGCGAAGTCTTTAATATTAAAGTCGCCAATTAATAATTTATTATTATATAAATTATTTATTGATGTGACACCTGCTAGTAGGAGTTCAACATCATCAGTAGTAACTTAAGGAGAGATATAAATATTGAGTATAAATTAATCGGAACCTTTAAACTTTAATTGAACTGAAATTATATCGATGAAGGGTAAATCCTGGAAATATGCAATATGTTCTAAGTCATTAAAGGACGCCGAGAGTTCTTTTCTTACAGCCAATAAACATCCTCCGCCCCTCGTGCTATTGGTTATTTGATATGGTCTGTCTGATCTAAAGATGTCAAAATCGTGTGTTTATATATTCAGAATTACCTACAGAATCAGTGAGCCAGGTTTCAGTGAGAGCTATTAGCAGAACTGATATGAAGATCTTGAGTTTTTGTTATAATACCTTGCACGTTTTGGTAGTAAATAGTAAGTAGAATTTGATGATTTTGAGTTGTTATGTACCTGCTGTGATGGGTACATATTGGAAAGGATTTAAATTTAGAAAGAGTTGATTTATATACGTGATATTCTATATTAAGTGCAGTATGATTGGCTAAAACAGGGCTATTAGTTGTTTTATTATAATTGTGACAATAAATACAATATTCAATGGATCTGTGACCGTCTCTTAGTTGATGGTTCTGAGCGCATATATGACACATAAAGATAGACGATTTACAAACTCTGGACGAATGATAGTAACCACAATATTTGAAGCATCTCCTCAGATCAATTGCGTCATAGATGGAACAATAATCATAGCCAAAGAAGAGTTTTCCATAAAGCATTACATTTTAGTAGGTAAATATATCGCACTAAATAAATGCCTGATGAGTTTATTGTTTTTCATAAGTGGAAAATGGGAAATAACTGTTAGATCACCAACTATTTCTTTTTTATTTTGAATTTTAAGACAGCTGATTAGTTCTTTATTAGATAGTTTTTCAGACATACCAACAATTTTAAATCTAGGATTTAAAACTGGCACTTCTTTAATGGTGTAATTTTTAGCGAGCCTCTTATCAGCCAACTTTTTTAATTTATTGGAATTTTCTAAATTTTCACAGCTCACCACGAGTCCGCCTTTTCCAGTGTGAACCACTTTTGAAAGACATATATTTGAATAAACGGGATTAATATTTTTTACCATGTCATTTTTGTTGAAGCAGAATTTTGTTTGTTTTTCGGCTTGATTAAATATGAAGGGTGCTTTTTTAGGACTTCGTTAAATAATGGTTGAGAACTTTCTTTAGATGATGATTTGGATGAATTTGAACTGGTTGAGGGAAGTTTTGGCAAAATATTTTGATTGAGTTCTAGTTTTAGTGCTTCTAGAACATTACCTTTGATAGCAAATATCTCATCAACTTTTTCTTGAATTAGCTCATGAACTTTACCAATAGCTTCATTGATTAGAATTAGCTGATCACTATTACCTTTTATTGAGGTTTTTTCGGCTATATCACATTTTTTCTTACAAACATCACATAGAAAAAAAAAATTTCACTTTTAGAAAGCATGGTAAATTCGATATTGGTCAACCCTATACATGAATAATGAAACCATTTCGAACATATTCTTTCACATCCGACTAGACCTTCATTTTTAATAATTTTACATTTATGTCATTTTAAATCACTCATTGTTCCGCCTCTGGTAAATAGTTCTCAAGCATTACAGGACAAAAAAACTAGACTATTGATCTGTATCGGTATATCTATATAGGTTAAAATAAAAGTAGACGAATCTTAATTAAATACAGCACCCAGGGAGCATATTATGGGTTTACAACATGCACTATTACACTGGGACGTTTTCTTAGCATGTCATGGAAATAAACATCTTATCATTTATATTGTCAATTTTTGTAACAGAATATTATTGTATTCAAACATTTTCCCAACTTTACCTACTAATTTATCTGCTGGTAGTGAAAGTGATGAAATTATGAGCACTCCACCGGAGGTTTTAGAAAAAGTTCAAGCTGCCACACATAATTTGTTACCGCTAAAATTCAAAAAAGGTACGAAATTAAAAATTTATGGATTGGCGACACAAACATGTCCTTTATTTAATAGAAAAAAATAAGTGGGCGTAGAAAAAATATAGTACGTTACACGAGTTGTAAGCCCATTACGCACTCGTAAACTCGTTAACTCGTAAACTTTTTCACTTCGTGCGTAATGGGTTACTTACAACTTTTGTTACGTAATATACTATAAATATAACAAAGGAACGTTTTACATAACGTTACCGTATTATACAAATTAACAAATGAAAACGGCAATTGGCAGTTGTTCAAAAAAAAACAAGAAATAAGATTTATGAAACCACCTTGGGTAAAAATCCTAAATAGTTATTCTACATCAAGAGGTGTAAGAAATAATTTAAATGTAACAAATATGCAACATTACACTCCGTATTTTTTTAATTTGTATTCGAGGTATATCTGGAAGTTTAACTTCATTTATTTCTGTAGTATGATTCCGTTTTACGACTCACCTTTGAATTCCTGCTATAAAATCTTATGTGAATTCGGTTGAATCGAGAAAACCCCTTCTTTTT